CATTATTGGTTGATTGAACTGAGTGATTTGGTAGCATCTCTCTTTGGAAGGGGCGTAATACTTAGTGTGAGACTTAGCTAAGTAGCTGTGGCCCCAGAGGCAGGCACATGGTATTTTTCCGAGAGAAGCAACCCATTATTTTTGTTGTTTTATTTAAATAGCATAAATAGCTTGCAGAAGGGAAATAGGATAAGTGCTGTTGGACCTCATGAATGATCCTTGTAATAGGCTAGGGAGTTGGCTACAAATACTGTGTAGAGGGCTTTGTCATTTAGCTCAAGCAGGAGCAGTTCATGCTTGTGATGAAATGGTTCAAAAATCCTGGTTTCCTTCCAAGCAGGTTGGTTCCAGGAGGTTAAACCTGGGATTTCCAAAGTGGCCTAGGGCAGTTAGAAATGCTACTCACAATTAAGAATCAGTAGGAATTGGGTGCCTAATGCCCTTAAGGTAGAAAATCTCATTCACTTCATTGATTTGCCTGTCACCCAGTGCAGGGTGATGACATTTTACCCAGTCTGTGAGGGAGAGGAGTTTCCCTAGAATAAGGTCTTAGGCAATTTATTCATACAACAAAAAATTGGCCTTTAAAGTGGCTTATTGCCCCTTTGCACCACTTTAATGGTGCAGCTGTTTACACATGTCAGCAGCGTAATGCGCTTTAATGGTGCGGCTGTTTACACATGTTGATGGCATAATGCACATGAAATGACTTTTGGATGCAGCAAAATGAAACATGTCTGACGTGTTTTAATTTAGTACCTTAAACCTGTGGAGGGAAGCACTGGGCCCCGTGCAGGCAGCTCGTGTAGGCAGCCAATGCAAGCAGGCTCCACTGATGGAAAAACAAAGCAGTGAGCCTGATCTTTTTTCTTTTTTTTTCTTCCCGGAGCCTGCCTGCCTTCCTTCCTGAGCTGCATGGGGGCCTGGTGCTTCCCTCCACAGCTGTGGTGCCCCCCAAGACTGCCCAGGCTGGGTGCCTGCAGACAGGTTCCACCTGGGGGGTGCTGCCACTGCCATGGAGGGAAGCACCAGCCCCCCTTGCAGCTCAGGGATTGCTTGGCCCACTGGCAGCGTTTCCCCCCCCCCCCCCCCCCCGCGGGGGGGGGGGCCCCCCCCTGCCACTGGAGAGGCAGGTAAGGATCGGGCCTGACCCATGTGTACACGCCACAGGGGTCTACTTCACCCTAAATTGAAGCAGTGTTTTTAAAAGCTCACTGCTTCAATTTAGGGAGAATTAAACTGACATAAACCCCCGTGGTGTGTACAAATGGCCTTACAGTCTGTTACTGATGTCTTCTAGTACTGTATATGATACATTACAATATTTGAGTCCTTTGGCGTATTTAAACTCTAGAAGGAGATTGGGTAGAAATGGCACCTAATGTTAGCAAAATACAGAATATTTTGTAGGAGACCTTGGTTGACAGTACTTCTGACTAGGACTGGCTGGAAAACAAGAGCTCTATTTCACAAAAAGTGTTGAGAGCTTTCAAAATTGTTCTCATTTGCTGCCAGAATGAAAATGAGACCTTTTGAATTTCTTTGCTACCAAATGAAGGCGTGTGTACCCTTCTTTGAAATAGCTAATGGCATAGTGACTAGGATACTCCTTTCACCTGCAATATGGGAAGTATGGGTTTAAATTCCTGTTCTAGAACAAGGGCTTGCATCTCTGTCCCTGAACTCTTGGAAGACTGGTTGTCTCATTCTCTCCCAAAATGCCCTTATGGACTTGAGAAAGTTTCATCAAAGCCAGAATGTTTCCACAAAAAAAAGTTTTATGAATTAGCATTTTCTAGTGAAAAAGGATTTTGTCCAACAATTTTGAACCTAATGTACTTCTAACAAAGGAGATTCACACTGGATAGAAGGAGTCATCTAAAGCATAAAAAATAGCCCAGAAGAAGGTACATTTTTGTTTAAGTGGGACAGGGTCTAGGATGCAAATGGTAATACATGGTGTGTGCCTCTGTATCACAGCTGACGTGCCTTGTGAAGAGGAAGGTAAACTAATTCTATTATGGTAAGACAGACAGAGGCATAAAATGATAAGACAGACAGAGGAACAGATTAGAAGAAGATAGAACAAGGATGCTTAAAATAAAAGCAGAGATGTAGGCAGGGCTGGGGAAAACCAGAAAAATGAAGGGCATGAAAGTAATGGTATAAAAAAAGTAGTGGACGGGTGACACAAACCTCCATATGAGGTTAACTTCACCCCAGCCCAGCATAGAATTACCTTTGAAAGAAGTAGAGGTAAAACTTTAACAGTGCCAGTTACATTGATTTAGATATTGTCTGTCCATAGCTATTCTGGTGTAACTGTTCAAGGCAGGGAGGTTAAGTGCTCTTCCACTGGATTTGGCAAAACACAGAAAGAGTCATCCACTCAATCCTAGTGTAAATTACATTGGCATACAAAATTGATATAAATCCCCATCTGATGATTTAGCTATAACCAAAGAGGAAAAAGTGTGCTTTTGAAGAGTCATTCATTAATAACTGCTGGGGCTTTACCATTCCCAGTATGTTGGGTGAGAAGGAGAAGCATTGGACATGACGGCCAGGTTTTGTGAGCCCATGCAGTGGGACCATGGGAGGAAGGAGGAAGAGCTTGGCTTGGCTTGGCTACAAGCTCATGAGTTCAGTTTTGGCTGCCATGTTATTGGAGAAGGAGAAGGAGAAAGGTCAGTCTTCAGGGAGGAACAGGTCAGAGGTTGGAAGAGGGGCTGCTGGGGTGCTCAGTTAGTAACTGTATTGTGTATCAGGAAAGAGGACCAGATTAGGGATTTGAATGAGAAAGATGAACAAAGGCTGAGCTGGGGGGAGGCTTTCAAAAGGTCAGAAGCAAAGTAGAAAAATATAGAACCAGACCTCCAGAACCCAAGAGCAGGTTACATAAATCCTCTCTTGACTTCACAAGACCTTTTGTAGTGAAAACATCTGCTTGTTATGAAACACTTCCATAACACACAGACTCCTGGCTCCTCCTATCCTCCAAGCAGGGCATTGCTCTTCTGATGTGAGATCCACTCCCTGGGAATAGGCAGACTTGTATACTGCTCTGACCGGATGCACATACGCCATATACTGATCCCAGTGAATTCATCCCCTGCAAACATAAAATATTTACAATTATTGTTTTTTTGAGATACTGTAGGTTACAAGGCAGCATCTCATGGCTTGAATATACTTTCTCTGTAAAGTCGATGGCTACTAAGAAGTTAAGATTGCGTGTATAAAACCCCCAAATCATTAATAGGTATCTCCTGGGATGGAACGTATTATGCTTAGTTGTCCAATGGAACTGAACCCTACTGACACACATCCACATTCATACTGGAGAGTCATATCATTTTCTAATAAATTCAGGCATTGCTGAATGGAATTCTCTGGTCTGCATCATGGCAGAGGTCAGACCAAATGAACATAGTGGTCCCCTTTGACTTTAAGCCCTGTGTGAGAATTCTAATAAAGAAATCCACTTAAATTTAGTAGAAGTAGGTAGAAATATCTCCTACTTCACGGACAATTGTATTAACATCGTCTAGCTGCATTACAGTGGCATTGACAGGCCCCATGGGCTAGACGGTGCAATGGAAGACAGTACCTGTTGAAACACGCTTATTGTCTAGGCCTGTGCAAAGCGGCTAGTATTCACTTCGGATTCAGCCAGTTTCGGGGGCATAGATTTGATTCGGTGATTCGAATCACTGTCCCAAATTAATTCAGCTGCTGAATCAGCCAGATCTCTGAATCAGCCCCATCCCCTGCCTCCTCTCAATGGCTGCCCCGTGCAGTCTCCCAGCTCCCAACTCTTTGAAAGAAAAAAAAAGAGAAGTCCCCACTCACCTGCTGCTGCCAGGTGGGAGGGCAATCCCTGCTGCTCCCCATTGCCCTGTGCTGTGGGGGGGGTTCTGCCACGAGCCCCTAGAAGCCCCGAGGGCATGGCAGCATCTGGGGAACCCAGGTTTTTTGGTTTTGTTTATTAAAGAGCCAGGAGCTGGGGTGGGCAGGACAGCCATTGGGGTGGGGGCTGGGACAGCAGGCGGGGGTTGGGGGGTTCATGGCAGAGCCCCCAATGCAGTGTGGGGCAGTGGGGATCGTCTCTCCCTGCCTGGCAGCAGCTGGTGAGTGGGGGCTTTTTTTTTAAAGGCCGGGAGCTGGGGCGGGTGGGACAGCCATGGAGGGGCTGGGTGAGCAGTCAGGGGGTGCTCAGGGGGGCTGGAGGAGCAGGCAGGTCATGAGGCCTGGCGGGGATCCCTCTATGGTCCCCTTCCTCTTCTCCAGCCCCTCTCCCCCGCCTGCTACTTACCAGCATGGGGTCTGGGTCCAGCTCTTTGCGGCAGCAAGCGGGGACTGCCCAAATTGCTAAAGCTCTCCGAATCTTTTCCGAATCAATTCGGAGAGCTTTGAATCGATTCGGACCTTTTCACTGGTCTCCTGATTCAATTCAGATTTGGATATTCGGCTGCCGAATTGGGCTGAATCTCCTTTGAATTGAATCAGCACCGAAAGCTTCACACAGCCCTATTATTGTCTTAATTTGGGGGGAAAAAAGGATGGATCAGGTCAGTGAATACAACCCAGGGTACTGAGAAAGGACTCCAAAAGCAATTTTGGTTATATAGGGTTATAATGGGCATATTGTTAATTTGTGAATTTAGAGGTCTTCTGTTTAAGACAGACAGATATGTTGATTGGCAGCTATTGTTACAGTTCATCAGAGGATTCCCAGTATCTGATCTCCATCTTTTGTGTTGAGGCTGTTGGAGATCAGGCAGATTATGCAGAGGTCATATCTGGTCCATAGATGGAAGATAACTCATAGGGATGGTCAGATCTGCTTGAGGGTACCCTCAGCCATCTTACTCCTGCATGGCACTAAAAACTTTGCCCACTTAAGGATCTAAGCCAGACCTGAGCCTTTCCAGATAGGTCTAAAATGCTCTGTTAACTTTCTTTACCACCAACCCTTGCCCTTACCTCTACGTTTGCAGGTTCCATTCAGGATCAACTCTGCTGAAACACTATGCAAGAGCCTGCTCTCTTCGTTTTTCTGGCACAGCTACAAGTGGCTAGGAATGGAAGTGCTGTGAGAAAGCTTGTGCTCCATTCTCTGCCAAATTTTGTATTCCCAGTGGGGTCACATTAAGAGATGAGGTCAGTGGTATGCATTAAGTGTCATTAAGTGATAGAATTAGGCAGGGATGAATTTTTCCCAAGGAGGAGAATTTTCTTCTCTAATCTGCATTGCAGATCTTTTGCCCTTGATGTGTATTTAAAGCATATGGCCAACTACAGTACAAACACTGACATCAGTGGAAACCATGCTTAAGCAGGTGCAGCGCATGTAGTGTTTAGATACACCCTAGTGATAAGAGATCTGAACTTCCAGTCTGGGATGAGAATGTCCATCCTTCCTCTGAAAAAAAATAAAAAAATTATATATATGTGTGTGTGTGTATTCTTTATGGTGAAGCTTGCTGTATTGATGTGAGTCACATAAGAGAGGTCTGTTAGTAATTTATGAAACTCATTAGCAAGATATTAAATCCTAACGCCATGTTGTGCTTCTAAAGTGTTCTGATGAAGCATTTGTACTGCAGGGGTGGTCTACTTATAGTATCTGATAGGCTAACAGTAAAACAAACTGGTACACTGAAAAGAAAATGGCAATTTTAAAGTTACTATCTGGATCCATCCATATATAAATCTTAGAGGGACTGTTATTGCATCATTTTGGCAAGCAGATAGGAAGAATTCTCCAGTAGGATTGTGGATCAGAGATAGGAATATAAGGTATTCATGGTACCTGTATGTATTGCATTAACTTCTAGAGAAGGAGCCTGACAACTTGGAGCTTCCAAGAGTAAGTTCTTGCTGCAATCTGGAAATGTGACAGGAGCTTGTCTAGATAGACCTGGGATGGCTTTCAAGTAGGCCCTAGCAGTACAGTTCTCCAGGCTTAACCTGTTGAATTTGTATCAAGGGGTCTGGATGGGTTTGACCAGTCTCTGATTAAACCTATGTAAACTTTTCCTGAGACCATTAGAGTATTTTCTGTGCTGCTGCAGCCTGATCCAAATCCCAGTGAAGTCAATGAGAGACTGGCCACTGGTTTTTAAAATAGGCCTGCAGTGCTGTCCTTTTCCTGAGTCAATGGACTTCCCCCACCATAGTAGACTCAGACTTATTCATCTTTGTATTCCCTCATTTCTGAATCAGGAAAGTTCTGGGTATGTTCAACACAGGGGTCTGTTATCTTTTCAAGCAGCAAAAAAGAGGATTTTTTCCATAGTCACAGTTTTTCCACAGAAATGTATTCATAAGAGTTAAACTTGCCCAAACTATGTTAATATATGTGGTTGACTTCTGTGCCAATTTTTATTGTGAATAAGATGCAAAACAAAAGGGCTCTTGTCTCTCCTTTCCTCCTCTCTGAATCCCTCCCATAATTTTTAAGTTCATAAGCCCATTTTGTATGCGGATCAGATCAGAAGAGGGAAGGCAGCAAAGATTGATTTTTTATTTTTAAGCTGTGTGTTTGCTTAAAATGACTGACTGATAAGCACATTCAAGCTGTGGCTGTACCAAGTGGAGGTGAGCACAATGGGCCCCATCTGCAGCTGTTGTAAATCCATGTGTTCCTCCAAAGATATGCCAGTTTACCCCAGTTAGGACCTGACCCTCTGCAGGAGAAGCTGTTGCTGCCTTGTGTTGCAAGAGGTTCTGAACTGATGAGGGGTGTTATCTTTCTAATGCAGGTGTCCTGTCTTTTGCCTTTTCTACCTCCGCCTGCAATGTGGTGCACTGAAGCGCACACAAAACATTAGCAACGATTAGGTAACTCTCTTAGCCAGATGGCTATGCAACATTCACACTATAAGCTGCAGCTAGGATGAGACATTTCTCTCCAGTGCATGTCTAGACAAGCAGCTATTATTAAGTTTCAGTATATTTCTGTTAATGTATTACCTACCTATTTTCATTCCTGCATGTTGTCATACTAAGCTGGTTGGCATGGTCTAAGGAACAGGGCTTTGAGGCTCCTCCCTGTAAAAGCTGCCAGCTCATTTATTTGTTTCTTACCAGGAGTATAAGCTGATATGTTTTTATTCGGAAACTACTGAGAAGCAATGATGGACAAACCCTGAAGAGATCAGAACTGAGGTGCAGTTTGGCTGAAAGCTTCCCAGAGTTCAGATCTTTATCCGACTGTTTGGAGTGAGTGGAACACGGGTAGAAAAACCCTAAGATACAAGCCTGTTTCTGAGAGATTTCCAGCTCATCTGCTGGAAATAGCAGGTGAATGGCTTTTCCTGCAGCATTTAGAGCTTTGAAATTCTGATCCCTGCCTCATGTTTCTGAATCTTAAAGGCAGGGACTGCAGCTAGCAGTGAGGGCATGCACAGTGCAGATTGCAGGTAAGGTGGCAGAAAGTTCACTTTTGCTTTACACTCATCCAAGGATTATTGTGTGTAGTGCCAGTCCCCTGGCATATATTATTGTTTCCTAAAGGCTGAAGTATGTTATATAGTTGCCAGTAGTCTTCTGGCTTTGCAAAATGGCAGCCAAGGTTTGACAGGGCATGGGGGAGTCATGACAAAGTCTTTTGTGTTCCAACTACACTCCTTACATAGGCCAGAGGAAAGGATACAGCAGAAGAGGCTCAGCACTGGCTCGGAGCTTCTGGCAGCACCTCCAGTGGTTCACGTATGAGTCTACAAAGGGTTTTAGACAATTTTCTAGACAATGTGTAGGCTGGTGGTTTTCAACCTTTTTAGGCTCAAGAGGCCCCTCATCAGACTTGAGGCACCCCTCCATAACTTTTGAGAATTGAGTGGCACCCTGTTTAAAAAACTAATTTATTTTTTGCAGGGCTTACTGTAGGGGTGGGAAATTATTTGGGCTTGTGGGCCATGGGGAGTTCTGCTGAACTGTTGTGGGCCAGGTCAGAACTGATCCCCTAGTCCACACAACAGCTCACCAAAACTCCCTATGTGGGATGAGGACCCGGGCAGGTGGAGAGTGGTGTTTGGAAGCAGGATGGGCAGGCGAGGCAGGGATCATGGGACGGTGACAACACGGGGTCAGGGCTGGGGCAGAGCCATGATCCACAGCCCACGTCTCTGTGATAGGTGCCGGTTCCACAGACAGGGGTGTGCAGGGAGTGGATCACAGATCTGCCCCAGCCCTGTGCTTTCACCACCCCAAGATCCAAGACCTGGCCTCAGATGTAGCTCCCTGCCCACCAGCAGCCCCATCCCATTTGCCTGGCCATGCCCCTGCCCACATGGCTCCCAGCCCTGTCACTGACCCACAGTCTCAGGGTCGCCCTGGAGACTGGCTGGGAGCCGAGTGGGCAGTGTGTATGTCCAGGCAGCTGCATCTGGAAGCTGCATCTGGGTCTGGGATCTTGGGGCTGTGACAGCACAGGACTGGGGCTGGGGCAGAGCCATGATCCATTCCCTGCATGGACCTGTTTGCGTAACCTGTGCCTATTGCAGGGCCGTGTGGGGAGCAGATCATGGCTCTGCTCTGGACCCCAGCCCCACGCTATCACCTCCCCAAGATCCCAGGATCTCCCCATCCCTACCCACCCATCTTACTTCTGGACACCATTCCCTGCTGGCCTGCAGGCCCATCCCAGCTGCTTAGCTGGGAGCCCTGCTCACATGGGTCCCACCTCTGGTGGTACATGAAGGGCAGATCTCTTCACATCTGATTTATCTCCTCACACTTCCTGCTGTGCTCTTCAAAGGATTTTGTGCCACCTCATGATGACCAGCACCCTCATTAAAAATCACTGGTGTAGGAACATAATGTACATAACATTAAGAAGTGGACACAGAAAGCTGTGTATAGCACCTCTGGGCCTTCTAATTTACAAACATTGCCAGCACATGACTTTTTAAAATTTTAACTCTTAAATATACTCTACTGGTCATTGGTTAGGCCTCAGCTGGAGGGATGTATCTATTTTGGGGCATCACATTGCCGGAAGGATATGGAGAAGCTGGAGAGGGTTCAAAGGTAAATGATGGAGACAATAACAGGATGGGAAAGGAAGACATACAAGGAGAGGCATGTCTAGTTTGAAATAGAAAAGTGTTAACAGGAGACATGGTAGCAGTTTTCAAATATTTGAAAGGCTAGCCTAAAGAAGATGGATACATTTTGTTCTTCCCCTGCTGCAGAGGGCAGCACATATGGTAAGAGGTTTGAGCAGATTTAGATAAAAATCTTTGAAAAAACATAGAAACTATGGGCGCTTGTACATGTGATGAAAATTTCCCTTGATGTGGTTTAATGGCATCACACTGTACACGTACATGAGTTTTGGGGTTTTTAAATGAGTTTGCATCATTGCAAATTAAACTACATCCCGGTGTAGTTTAGTTTGCAATGTTGCAACTTGGAATGTTGCGGCTGTTATTCAGCTTGCCTCCCAGCTGTGGAACAGGCAAGCGGGCTCTGCAGAAAAAAAGGATCGGGCCCTTCACCACTTTTGCCTTTGGCAGGCTCCTGCGGCCTCCAGGATGCCTGGGGCCACGTAAGAATGTGCTGGCTTGCCCCGAGGTAGTGCGAGGAGGCAGCAGGACAGTGTACAAGGCATGGGGTCACCCGGGTGGGCTGCTAGCTTCTCTGAATCCACCTGGGGTTCCAGTGCCCCGTACACTGTGTCCGCTGCCTTCTCCAGTCACCAGAACATCAAGCCATCCTTCTGCTGCCTCCCCATGCTGCCTGAGGGGAAGCCAGCCTTTTCCCAGGTGACCCCAGGCATCCAGCTGGATGCAGGAGTATGCTGAAGACAGAAACAGCGAGGGGCTTAATCCTTTCTTTCTACAAAGCCTGCTTGCCTCCCCCATGGTCAGGAGGTGAGCTGACAGAATAACAGCATAGATTAATGGCACCCCGGCTGTGGGAGAGGCGGGTAGGCTCTGCTGAAAAAAAAAAAAAGGATCAGGCCCCTCACTGCTTCTGCTTTCAGGAGGCTCCTTTGACTACCAGGACAATAACATATATACAGTGACAGAAAAATAAAACTCACCGTTTCAATTAAAAACTCACCATTTCAATTTAGGGCAGGGGTGGGCAGTTATTTTGGGCAGAGGGCTGCTTACTGAGTTTTGGCAAGCCATCGAGGGCTGCATGACAAGCAGCCAGGGGCAAATATATATTAATTTTCTAAATTTTTTAGGGGCCCCATGGGTCAGATAGAAGGGCTTGGCAAGCTGCATCTGGCCCATGGGCCGCATTTTGCCCACCCCTGATTTAGCGGGTATAGAATGCAACCCTAAGGACTAAAACCCCGTCCTGTGTACAAGCACCCTAGAAGAGCAGTACAGCAACGGAACAAGTT